CGGGATACCGAGAGCCGGGGGAGAGGCGCGCCACGCCAAGGGGGACGAGCGACGGGAGGGGGAGAGTAGTGTCTTTCGCAGGATAAAAAGCATTTCTTTTTCATCTACTCGCCCATGGCCGTCTCGACCATGGCTGATGAACTCAATTGACGGCCAAGAGCCAATAAATGATCAACTCATATATTCATTAACTCCCTGCCGTTTTCTATACATGTAGCTGCGCAGATACAGATCCCGACTGTTCACAGTGGGGATGAGAGAGAGTCGTCTCTAATATGTTAGCTCGTCGTTACGAGGAAGCCTCAGCATGTTACATAAAACGTCCTATGCCAACGCAGCGCAACTCTTGGAAGTGGTTAGCGCGATCCAACCCTTGCCGCTTGAGCCGAACTGCAAAGTTGCTCGTCACCTCTACACCTGCTCCACCTCTGGCAGCTGCTCCAGCTGCGAATCCTCCTCGGTAACGACTGGGTCGGACGTCGTCGAGCCGCGAGGCACGGTAGTGAAGCGCCCGATATTCGAAAGCGAGTCGCGGATGCTCGAGCGAGCGCTCACCGGGGTTGCGCCCAGAGCCTTGGCCAGCAGCACGAGCGACACCTGTGAGACCGGGGGTGCAAGATCAGTCGCTTCAGGAGGCGGGCGCTGTGGCAAAGGTGCCGCCGGGGGAGCGCACCTCATGGTGCAGGCCGGGGAAGCAGGCAATGGCGAGGGCGTCGTAGAGCCCGGCGTTGATGAGCTCCTGCGGCGGCGGGGAAGGGGGGCATGGAGCGGGCGGGTGTGGCATAAACGATGGACCGCTGATGGGCAGCGTTCCTGCGGCGTGGTCTCAAAAAACTTGGCGAACTCACAGCCGCCGCGGTTGAGGTCGTTCTCGTGCGCCATGACGATCTTCAGCCTGTCCTGGCGCGCCTGCTTGACCTGCTCGGCCAGCCGCTCGTCGGACCAGGTGTCGGCGTTCAGATAGAGAAGCATGTGCGTGGCGTCGCCCGCCTCCTCGGCGGTGGAGACGGTGAGACCGGAGAAATTGGTGGCGAGCTCGGTGGCCAGCTCCTCTGCGCCCTCATCGAACGGCGAGGCCCAGAGCACGACGGACTTGGAGAAGGAGATCGGCTGGCCCTGGACCTCGCCCGGGATGAAGAGCGGGAGGGAGGTCAGGTTCAGGTAGTGTGGCGAGCAGAGGAGGAGCGCCTGAGGGTAGGTGCGAGGGGGCGGCGGTCAAGGTCGAGGCGACGGCAGAACAGCTGCAGGGAGTTGTCCGTGGCGGCACCTCGGAGATGATCTTAAGCGAGACACGCTGATACTCGTCGATGCGGTGCCACGTCGTCTGCGCCCACCCACTGTCAAAGATCTCCGGCTGGAGGACCTCCGGGCACTGTGCTCGCAACTCCTGCAGTCGTGCAGCGACGGTGTGCGTGAGTGAGTGCTGGCGTGCGGCGGCGGCGGCGACACCGCCCCTCAGAGCCGTGTGTGGCGAGAGCAATCCCCGCAGGGTCAGAGCTGGGGGTGGGCGGGGAGCGCCTGCAGCGTCCCGCCGCCCTTGGCCGGGTCCGCCTCTTGCACGAGGACGAGCGGCTTGCTCTTCTCGAGCGACGTCCGAATCTCGCGCAGGCAGTTCTGCAGGCAAGGAGCGCACGAGTAGTCGTGGGCGACACAGCGAGGCACTCTCGGAAAGGGAGGGGCTGGGGGAGTGCCTTCGAGCGGAAGTAGCCCTTCGACAGGAAGAAGAGCATGACCTGCGTGCGGTCAACGTAATCCTCCAGCGACCCGATGTCCTTCAAATCGTCCACATCGAGGAAGATCTTGATGCCGGGGATCAAGAGCTTAAGCTCATTCTTGATGACCGCGACGGCGTCTTGGCCGGTGGACCTATTCGGGGAGTGGCGGGTCGTTCTGGCGGATTCCTACGCCGTCTCTCCCTCTGACCACAGGACTGACCAGATGTGCGAGAGGAAGAGGTGCCACGTGAGGCCGTCCACCAGAGCCAGCTCGGGGGGCTGCTTGGTTGAGACGAGGCGAATCGTGGGGACCTTGGCAAGGCGGCGGATGGCGATGATGGTACCCACGAGGAAGATCAGGAGCGCAGCCGCAGCAAGGACGAGCATCCAGTTCACCAGTCCATTCTCAGACCTGAAGCCGAGCACGGCGGAGGCCGACTGCCCCGGCTCGTCGCCGGGGAATCGCAACTCGATGTTGAGGAAGATGGTGGTCCAGCTGGCACCGAGGAAGAGGAGGAGGAGGACGAGGCTGGTGGCCTGCAGTGCGAGCCGCGTCCGTTGGGCTCAGAGTGACTGCAGTGGGAAGGGCGTGTGTGGGGTGGGTGATGGACTGGCCACGGCGATCCAAGCGTGTGCTGCTGAGAGCTGCAGCACAAGCAAGCGCAAAGGGCGTGTGGGATTGGGCGAAGGGCGCACCACGGCGAGGATGTTGTCCTCGAACCGCTTGTAGGGCTGGACCAGGGCGATCGCGACGGCGTAGCACGAACACACGAGCACCGCCACGACGAGACGAACAAAGGAGTCCTCCTCCTCGGCAACCAGCAGCACGAAGCCCGTCAGAAAGAGCTTGCGGGCCAGATCGGCCGCCTCCCACCAGTACCAGTTCCTTTTGTACTCCCGGTGAAGGAAGGCGGTGGCCTTCGTCAGCGCGTTCGGCGACTTGGCCTGCAGCGGCTTGTAGCATGCGAGAAGAAGGGCCGAGTAGAGGACTAGCGAGCCGACCGGCCAGATGACGACGAAGCCGATGGCGAGTCTCGTGATGGAGGCGTGCTCGTCGGTGCCGCACTCGACGCTCGCGTCCTGCCGCATGTACTCGACCAGAGCGAGCGTCTCCCCCGGCGCAGAGGTGGTGTAGCCCTGCGCACGCACATCGACACAGCTAAGGTTTTTGGGGGGGGGGGGGGGGGGGCTTGTTTGTTTGTGGCTAGCACCTGGCACGACCACGCGCGCAAGATCGTGGCGCTCACAGACGGCACGAAGAGAAAGATGAGCACGAGACCCGCCGGCGTGAGGTCGAGGAGGCCGAGCGCCACCTCTGCAGGCCATGAAAAGACCGCCGCATCGTCAGTTTCGGCCAGCGCCGTCGGTGGCTCCGCAGCCCCTCGCCGAGCACGCCGCCAGCGAGCACAGAGCCGCAAGACAATGCCAGCAAAGAGGAGCAGCGCGATGACGCCGATGGGAGAGATCGCGACGGCGACGAGCCGGGACTTGTGCGGCAGGCACTGCACCGGCAGCACGACGCCCGACCAGTCGATGAAGACGGCTTCGGCCAGCGCCTCCGTCCAGCCCGTGTACCGTTCCGGCAGCCGCGCCGAGTAGGTGGTGGAGAGGACGAGGCAGACCTGGTAGAAGCCAAACAAGATCTTGAACTTGGGGATGAGGCCGATTTTGTAAATCGCGTCACCGGTGCGGTCGGCGATGCGCAAGGGAAGTCCGATGAAGCGCTCCTTCCTCCACTCGGTTTGCCCGCGCTGAACTGAGTACGCCAACGCCACGAGGCCAAACGCGACGCAGAGGCCGAGGGCGGTGCCCGCCATGCGCCCCGCCGCCGTGCCGACAGCGACGCACTCGTTGCAGGCGGCGCCGTCGGCGTCCAGGTAGTGGTTCGGCTCGCGGCAGAGCTGGCACTCGGGGCCGGCGAAGGCGTCTGCGCAGTAGTCCAAGCCGGCCTCCTGCACCCTCCGACCGCTAGCCTCTCCCGGATCAACATTGCCGACACACCGCGCCTGGCCCGCCTGGCCATCCCCTCCAAAGGCGCGGCACTCTGTGAGCTCGGCGCTGGAGAAGCTGGCGCGCCAGAAGCCGCGCGGGAGGACGAGGGTCTCGAGGGTCGTGCCGACCGGGCACGCGGCGTCCGATGGGCATGGCTTGCAGTAGTCGGTCGGGGAGGAGAAAATGTCGGCCGGGTCGGCGCTCGCCTTCAGGTAGAATCCCGCCTTGCAGACGGAGCAGATGACGGCGCCGCGCTCACTACTGAGGGGGTAGGGGCAGGGGATGCACTCGCCCTGGCCCTCGTTGGCGGCGTAAGTGTCGGCAGCGCACTCGTCGCAGGAAGAGCTGCCGGCGCCGGAGGACGTGCCGCGAGGGCACGTCTCGCAGATGCTCTGTCCGGCGAGGGCGGTGAAGGTGCCCGGCGCGCAGTCGATGGCGTCATCAGAGCCGGTCGGGCAAAACGTGCCGGCCGGACAGGTAATGCAGTCGTCCTTGCTCGTCATGAGGTCGAGGGAGGCGTTGATGCGCGTCCCGGCGGGGCAGGGCAGCGGCGCAGAGGCGCCCTCGGCGCAGTAATGGCCCGGCACGCACGCGATACAGTTGGTGGCGCCGCTCGAGTCCTGAGATTCGCCGGCGGGGCACCTCTGGCAGATGCCCTGTCTGGCGAGCGCGGTGAAGGTGCCCGGCGAGCACGCCGTCTGCTCGGTGGAGCCGGTGATGGCGAAGTGGCCCGGCGAGGCGTCGGTGCACTCGCTCGCGGCGGTGAGGTTGGTGGCGCGCGAGTAGCTGCCAGCCTCGCACGGCAGCGCCGCCGCCGCGCCCTTGGCGCAGTAGCCGCCCGCCTCGCACGGCTTGCACGCCGTCTGCGCCTCCGCGTCCTGGTACGTGCCGCCGGAACAGGCCGTGCACTCGCCCTGCCTGGTCTCGTTCGTGTACGACCCCTTGGCGCACGCCGTCTGCTCGGTGGAGCCGGTGGTGGCGAAGTAGCCCGGCGAGGCGTCGGTGCACTCGCTCGCGGCGGTGAGGTTGGTGGCGGTCGAGTAGCTGCCCGCAACGCACGGCAGCGGCGCCGACGCGCCCTCGGCGCAGTAGCTGCCCTCCACGCACGGAAGGCAGCTCGTCGCGTTCGACTCGCCCTGGTACGTCCCGCCCGCACAGCTGGCGCACTTGGAGAGGCCGGCCGTGGCGGCGAAAGAGCCCGGCGAGCACTCGGAGGGCGGCGCCGCCCCGCCGCCGCACGACGAGCCGGCGGGGCAGGTGAGGCACTCGGGGTCGCCGCTCCGGTCGGTCAGCCTGGCGTACGTGCCCGCCTCGCACTGCGCGTCCAGCTCGCGCGACGACCCCTGCGGGCAAAACTTGCCGGGAGCGCAGCGGACGCAGGCAGCGGCGGCGGGCTCGCTCTGGTAGTAGCCCTGGCCGCACAGCTCGCAGGCCTCGCTGCGCGCCTTGGCGGCGAAGCTACCCTCGCGACACGGCGTCTGCTCTGTGGAGCCGGTGGTGGCAAAGTGGCCCGGCGAGGCGTCGACGCACTGCGAGGCGGCGGTGAGGTCCGTCTTGTCCGAGTAGGTACCCGCGTCGCAAGGCAGTGGCGCCGACGCGCCCTTGGCGCAGTACCGTCCCTTCTCGCAGTCGCGGCAGGACGTCGCGCCCGTGTCGTTCTGGTAACGGCCCGCAGGGCAGTCCGTGCACTCACTCAGCCCGGGCTCGCCGCCAAACGTCCCAGCACGGCAGCTCGCGCAGGTCTCGCTGCTGTTTGCGCCGGTGATCGGGCTAGAGGTACCGGGGGGGCACTTCTGACAGGCATCGGGTGAGCTGCTGCCCATCTTCTCGTTGTACCTCCCCGCAGGGCAGGGTGTGAAGCCGCCACCGCAGTCATCTGTCGCCTTGCAGTATCCACCCGCTTCACACGTGTCGCATGCCGTCTGTCCGCGCTCCGCCTGGAACTCGCCAGCAGGGCACTGCATGCACGCAGCCTGGCCGGTGAGGTTCTGGTACTGCCCTGCGGCACAGTCGAGGGGCTGGATGGTGCCTGCATTCGGGCAGAAGCGTCCCGCGGGGCAGTCGGTGCAGCTGGTGGCGTTGAGCTGATCGGCGAACGTGCCGGGAGGGCACTCGTCGCAGGGGTGGACCGCGCCGGCTGTGGACTGGCTCGTCCCCGGAGAGCAAGGGAGGCACGACTCGGCACTGGCTGCGCCAATCACGGGCATGTAGAAGCCCGGAGCACACGGGAGCGGTTCCGCTGTGCCCTTGGGACAAAAGTGGCCTCGCTTACACGCACCATCGCAGGAGGAGTTGGTGAGGCCGCTCGTGTTCCCGTAGTAGCCAGCGGGGCAGAGGTTGCACTCGGGGACGCTGAAGTCGCCAAAAAAGGAGCCCTTGCGCGGCATCCAGCTGCCCAAGCGGCAGTCCCAGTTTATCGGCGAGCTGACTGCCTCTATCGTGGCACCGTCGTTGTCGTCGCCAGCGGTGTTGCCGGTGAAGGAGGCGTCGCTGATCGAGGAGGGCGTGTTTGAAAGGTACAGCACCGAGCCTGACCCTCGGACCGCTCTGTTGTCGATGAAGTCGATACCCGCGATGGAGAGGGACTCGCTGTAATACGCGTGGACGACGCCGCCGCGCTGCAGTTGCGAGGAGAGAGCGGGGTGAGGCAGCCGTGGCCCTCTCTATCTCTCGCCCCGCTGCCGTGCGGCGCTGCTGGAGTGCGGCTAGCTCTACGCGGCGCACATGGTAAGCAGAGCAGTCCGACACATCTGAGTCGATTATCGAGACCGCACCGCTGTACTGCGCGTAGACGACGCCGCCCTCCTGCGGTTGCGAGGAGAGAGCGGGGTGAGGCAGCCGTGACCCTCTCTATCTCTCGCCCCGCTGCCGTGCGGCGCTGCTAGAGGCGGCTAGCTCTACGTGGCGCACGCTGTCAGCCGAGCAGCTTGTCACATCCGAGTCGATGATCGAGACCGCACCGCTGTCCTGCGCGTGGACGACGCCGCCGTACTGCGGTTGCGAGGAGAGAGCGGGGTGAGGCAGCCGTGTCCCTCTCTATCTCTCGCCCCGCTGCCGTGCGCGCTGCTGGAGGCCGGCTAGCTCTACGCGGCGCACAGAAGCAGAGCAGCCCGACACGGTCGAGCCGATGATCGAGACCGCACCGCTGCTAGCCGCCCTGACGACGCCGCCGTACTGCAGTTGCGAGGAGAGAGCGGAGTGAGGCAGCAGTGGCCCTCTCTACCTCTCGCCTCGCTGCCGTGCGGCGCTGCTGGAGTGCGGCTAGCTCTACGCGGCGCACCCGGCCAGAAGAGCAGCCCGACACGGTCGAGTCGATGATCTCGACGTCGCCTGCGCCACTCGCGAACACAACGCCGCCGTAGTACGTCCTCCCGTTGACGAGGGTCAGCCCCCGCAGGGTGAGGCTGCAGCCGCCCGTGAGGTAAAAGAGCCCGGTCTGTCCCTGGCCGTCGAGCGTCGCGCCCTCGCCGCTGCTCGCGACGGTCACCTTGATGCTGGAGGCGCAGCTGATCTGGCTGCCCAGCTTGAAGTCTGCCCTGGGCGGCAGGTAGATTGCGACGTCGGCTTGCGAAGTAGCAGCCTCCGTGATCAGGGAGCGGAGCTTAGCCTCGCTCGCCGCCACGACATCGAAGCCGGGGAAGACCGGCGGCGTAGAGGGCGGAGGCGGCAAGGACGGCGGCGGCGGCGGCGGCGACGGCTTGGGCGGCGGCGCCGGCGGCGGCGACGGCGGCGGGGACGGCGGCGGAAGGGACGGCGGCGGCGGCGGCGGGACCGGCGCCTTGGCCGGAGGGTACGGCGGCGGCGACGGCTTGGGAAATTCGGGAGACGGCGACGGCTCAGGCTCGGGCGACGGCTCGGGAAATTCGGGAGACGGCGACGGCTCAGGCTCGGGCGACGGCTCGGGAAATTCGGGAGACGGCGACGGCTCAGGCTCGGGCGACGGCTCGGGAAATTCGGGAAACGGTGACGGCTCGGGCGATGGAGCTGGCGACGGCTCGGGAGATGGCGACGGATCGATGTCAACCTCGCCAGAGCCAATCTCCCCAGAGCCAGACTCGCCCGAGCCAGACGTGTAGACTGACGGTGCACATGCCAGCGGGAGCAGCGCGGCGAGAATCAGCAGCCACGCGCCACGCCTCGCCCCCGTCCGGCAACGCACGAGGCGCCCCGAGCTGCTCCTCCGCACCGAGGGCAGCACGCCGCCGCACGCTCCGAGCAGCAAGAACAAGGCGGCCCAAAACTGACAGCGCTGCTGGGTGCGGACAGGCGCGGAAGAGGAGGGTCCGCTCATGAAGGGAAAGTGGAACGGGGAGGGCAGGTCGATGGAGAGCTTGTCGACCGGCGGGTTCGCGGGCGGCTTGTCGGTCTTGCAGAGCTCGTCGGTGAGTGCGTGGTGAGGCTCCGCATGCCACGCAACGGGGGCGGCGCAGCGTGGCTGCCGGTCGGCGCACACACGTGAGACGGAGGAGATATCGGACTGGACCGAGTTCGAATCGGAGATCTGAGCGGCACGGACCTCTGCAGGCCATGCCGGCTCCGCGAGAAGAGGGTCGATGGCCCGGCCAAGCTGGAGGAAGAGATCCTTGGTTGTGGCTGGAGAAGCGGTCGCCAATCTGTTCACCCGCCACTCGCCGATGCTAGAGACGGGCGCGCCGAGGCCAGTCTCAACCAGCTTCTCGGGCGTGTTCCCAGCGTCGGCGAACCGCATCTCGGGCGACGTGTCGTTCACGGGCAAGACGGTGTCGCGTCCCCGAGCGATGATCCCCGTCCTGTTGCTGTAGACGGGACCGACGAGGTCGATCTCGGGCTCGCCCTTGCGCTCCATGCTGTTGCGCGAGGCCGGGACGGTCTCCAAGTCGGCCTCGGCCTACTCGCAAACACACAGGCAATCGTTCCGTCAGCGGGTTACAAGGTAGCTCGCACACACAAAGAGCCAGAGGGGCGCTCACCGGCTGCTTCTCGTAAATTTCCTTGACGGACGCCGGCGGCTCGCCAATCAGGTGCAACGGCTCGCCCACCGCCTCTTTGATCGCTTCCATCAGTGCTCCCCACGAGCTCCCGTCCTCGTGCCCGCCCTGAACAGCGCGCGGGCTGTTAGTCACGAGCTGGCGAATACTAGCACGCTCGAGCGTGCGCGCACCGGGTGGTTGGCGGGCGCGCTGTCCGACGACACGATGGCTGCAAACGAGCTGGTGTCGTTGCCGCCAACCTCGCAGAAGCCGTTGGGCGATGCCGGCGTGAACGGCTTTGCGACGGTTGCGAGAGGCGATGTCGGCCACGGGGAGTCGTGCCGCTGCGAGGAGAGAAGCGCGGAAGTGGCAGAGTACGAGGAGTGCGCAAACGCGGCTCCGAGGCAGATCAGCGCGAGGATGCCAAAGAGGCGGAGCAAGTTGTAGGACTTTGACCACGGGAACCGGCCGGCGGCAGAGCCCTCGGGCGTGGTCGTCTCGACGTCGACCGTCGCGCCCTGAACAAGAGGGCGCGAGACTGGCCGTGTGAGAGCGGCGAGCGAGGGAGGAGGCCGCATAAATGCAGGCGGCGCGCACCGAGTCTGCGGTCGGCGGCGTGGAGCCGCCGGTCACCTTGCCGGTGCCACCGAGGATGCCCTCGTTGCCGTCCGTTCCGAGCAGGGCCCCGAACCTGTTCTTGCCGCCGACCGGGGTGATGCTCTTGGTGCGGACGATCGGGGCGGACGCGCCCTTGCGCCCGTTCTTGCGGCGCGGGTTCGACGGGGTGGTCCAGTCGGCGATGCCCTGCGCGCGCGCAAACGGTGGGTGCGTCATAGTTGGGGCTCCGCGTGTGCACCGCAGCGTGCGAGGCGCACCGAAGGGGCGGGCTCCTCCGCTGGAAACTCCTTGATCGACGGCAGCGGCGCGCCGCCGGCGGTGACCGGCTTGAAAGCCGGCGCGTCTTCGGTGACCGGCTTGAGAGCCGGCGCTTCTTTGGTGCCGTTGGGGGACGTCGGCGGGTCAAGCTTGGACCAGAAAACGGCGTTCGGGCTCGGCGCGTGGGCGGAGGACATGGCCTTGGCCTTGTCCGAGTCGACCTTGTCCGCGGCGGGGTCCTTTTCCGCGGCCGGGTCCTTCTTGAGGGTGCTCTCGTCGAGGGAGGCCTCCGCGCCAGACTTGGCCTCGGGGACGCCCTTCACGACGTCATTCTTATCGCACGCCTTGAGGGGGAATGGGGAGCGTGCTGGAAGGAGAGTGGAGATCTGCGACACGCGCACACACGCACCGCCTTGGCTCCGAGGGGCGGCGCGGAGAAGACGTCGGCCGGCATGATGCCGACCTTCCCTGCCGTCTTGTTCTCTGCCATGATGTTGATCGAGTTCACTCGTACCTATGAAGGGGGCGGTGGATTGGGTGGGGAGGTGCAGTGCCGGCGGTGGGGAGGTGGGAGGTGGGTTGAAGCCGCATGACGGCGGCGGCGGCGGCGGTGGCGGCGGCGGTGTGGCGGGCGCCGGCGGCGAGGGCGGTGCCGTGGCGAGGGCGTGGAGACGAGGCCGGCAGCACAACGAACGGCGGCGACGGCGGGGGACGGGGCGGCTGGAGAGTGAGGTGCGATGCAGCCGCGCACGGCATATAGGCTGGCCGATGGCAGCGAGGAAGGCAGGCAGGGCGGATGGGGGCGAGCCTCGTTGGCGACGCCGGCGGCGCAGTCCTTCTTCTCCGCCTTGGTCGGCGCCTTGTTCTTCTCGTTCTTGGCCTCGTGCTGCGCCTGAGGCGCGCGGGCTTCGGTCATGAGCGAGGATGGCGGGCGCGTGTGAGGCGCGGCGGTGAGAGCGGCGTCGAGAGCGGTGGCGGCGAGGGCGGCGGCGGCGGCGTAAAGGCGGGGTCGGGAGGTGGCCAACCGAGCGGACAAGCGCCATGCAATCTACGGCAGGCTCGGCGACGGCGGACTTGGTGGCGGACTCCTCGGCGGCGGCGGACTTGGTGGCGGAGGACTCCTCGGCGACGGCGGACTTGGTGGCGGACTCCTCGGCGGCGGACTTGGTGGCGGACTCCTCGGCGGCAGCAGACTTGTTGTCGGACTCCTCGGCGGCGGCGGACTTGGTGGCGGAGGACTCCTCGGCGGCGGCGGACTTGGTGGCGGAGGACTCCTCGGCTGCGGCAGACTTGGTGGCGGACTCCTCGGCGACCTCCTCAGTGGCGGACTCCTCGGCGGCGGACTCCTCGGTGGCTGCCTCCTCGGACTCCTCCTCGGTGGCGGACTTGGCGGCGGCCTCCTCGGTGGTCGCCTTCTTGGTGGCCGCCTCCTCGGCGGTCGCCTCCTCGGTGGCCGACTCGGCGTCCTCCTCGGCGGCGGCGGACTTGGCGGCGAGCTCCTCGGCGGCGGCGGACTTGATGCCGCACGCCTGGGTGAGGGGAGAACACGCAAGTGTGCGGAGACAGGGAGACCGTAGAGATGATGACAATCCTGGCGTGCGCACACTCACCTCGGCTCCGAGGTGCGACGGCGGCGACGACAAGTAGATCTCGTCCACATCGCCGTCGGGCTTGGCCGTGTCCACTGCGGGCTTGGGCGCGGCCTTGACGTCGTCCTTGACGCCGCACGCCTGTGGGCGAGAGCGGACGCAGCTGTTCGGAGACGGGGAGATTGCACGGAATGTGCTCTTGGCGTGCGCACACTCACCTCGGCTCCGAGGAGCGAAGGCGACAGCGACGTGATGCCGACAGGAGCCGTCGGCGCAGACTCGGACGGGACGTCATTGCCGTTGCCGATGACGTCATTGAGCGACGCGGGCTCGCTCTCGCCGTCGTGCTTGCCTCCGGCAGAGTCGATGACGGACAAGGGCGGCGACGGAAGTGGCGGGCACGAGGTTTTGTCGACGGTGAACGTGAGGCGCCGCGAGGTCTCGTCGCCGGCGAACGATGCGCCTACCGACGGCGCAAACACGACGCCGACGTACTCGAGCGAAACGGGCTTGCCCTCGGACGGGATGACGTCCTCGAGCGAAGCGGGCTCGCCCGACGTGATGACGGACGGGATGACGTCCTCGAGCGAAGCGGGCTTGCCCTCGGACGGGATGCCGGCGGCCTCGCCTCCGGCAGCGTTGACGGTCGTGTTGCCCGCCAGCGACGCCTGTGTCAGCCAGAAGGCCAGAGGATACGTCTTGCAGGTGGGAGCGCATTGTCACGTGCGCGAAAGCACAAGCCTGCTTATCAGCAAGCGGCGGCGGCGGAGGAGAGAGCTTTAGCACGAGCTTGTCACCGGCGGCCGGCACCAGCTCGCGTTTGAGCTTGTCGAGCATGTTGATCGAGTTCCTGCAGCGCGCGGGGGTATGCACGCCAAAGAGAGTCAATAGATGCAGCTCATGGAGAAGGCTGTGTGACGGGTTCATGTGAAGGCTGTGTGAAGGACAACGTGTGGAAGTAAAGTGCTACTGGTTGGAGTTACTGGAGACTGTGCAGAGCACCACTATTATTACTGGTCACTGGAGACTGTGCAGGGCACTCCTATTATGACTGGGGACTGGAGACAGTGCAGAGCCACTAGACTGTGCAGAGCACCATTATTATTACTGATTACTGGAGACTGTGCAGAGCACTCCTATTATGACTGAGGACTGGAGCCTGTGCAGAGCACTCGTGTATGACTGGTTACTGGAGACTGTGCAGAGCACTACTATTATTACTGGGGACTGGAGACTTTTGGGGAACCCTCGGGGAAGGGAGGGGTCAGCCCCTTGGGGATCATGCCCATGGGAAAGGGGGTCAAAAACTCCTATGGGGATTTCCCGGGGGTATATGGGGTATATGGGGGTATATGGGGGGGTTTATGGGGGTATATGGGGGGGAAGGAGAATTTTTCGGGGAATTTCCGGGAAGGGGATAAATTGTGGAAATTTCCCCCCGGCGGCCCCCCTTCCCCAAGCCCCCCCCCCCCCCCCCCCCCACCCCTCCCCACACGCCCTCCCGTCCCCTTCGAGCCTCGCCTACACAGACAAAAAGAAATCGAGCGGCGCTGGTTTGCTAATGAAGGCAGAGGCCATGCTCAGAGAGAGAGAGAGAGAGAGAGGGTCGAGCCAGGTCACTGCCACACCTACGGGCAGCACGCCTCGGCGTTAGCATCGCGACGACCGGCACACTCTCTCGTGTCCTCGGCGCTAGGACTGGAGCCGGGCAGCGATTGGCAAGCGAGCGGGCTGCGTCGCTCTCTCGCCGGAAAAGAGTGGGGGCAATCGGGCGGGTTCGTTCGGTGTAAGGTGGGGAACGAGCGGCAGCGGCCGCGTCTCGCGGCTCCCCGATGGCAGCAGCCTCACCTGCGAACGGGAGGTGGCAGGGATTGTGAGGCCGAGATTTGGCGAAGCCGCTCGGGCGCCAAATCGAAGCGCATCGCATGGTGGGAGCGGAGAGGGAGCGGCGGGTTGCGTGAGCAGGAGGCGTCGCGCCGCTCGGGCGCGCAGCTCCCCGCGGCCATGTGTGCGTCGACGCGGCGGGGCCAGCGCGAGCGGAACGGGAAAGGAGAGGGGTTGGACCTGTGTGGTTGTCAGCGGTCTCTCGATCGCTACCCGGGACGCTGTTCACAGACCTTGTTATTGACAAGAAAATACGTCCTATGGTTCACAGACCTTGTTATTGACAAGAAAATACGTCCTTTCGCGCTTTGCGCTGTTCACATAAACGCACAACTCCGGACCCCGAAATAGCACAGTGACAGTCAGACGCTGTTCACATAAACGCACAACCCCGGGCCCCGAAATAGCGCTGTTCACAGGTCCACCCTCGACGCGCGCTTTTGTTTGGATATATGAAGGGGACGCACCGAGATAGCCAGCCGAACCACCCCCCCTCGAAAGAGCGCCTTCGGCACTACTCTCAACACAAACACAAACTCCTTACTTCAGCTGGTATGTCGGCTGTCGGGCCTCTCCGGCTCGCGGCCGCCGTGCTGCTGATCCTGAGCGATCCTGCGCTCGCACTCGCCCAGAGCACGCGTGCTCTGCGCCCCGTGGCCGCGTCGGCTCTCTCTGTGGCCGCGTCGGCTTTGTGTGTTTCCGCCCCCGGGGGGGGGGGGGGGGGGGCGGTGGATTCAGAGAGACCGTCACCCCGCGCGGGCCATGGGTGCCGCGCCGGCGCTACCTTGCTTGAGTGAGGCCAAAAGAGGTGACACTGGCATGTGCATGTACTGCGGCCGTGCATTGGGCTATCATAGCATTTTACGCGTATATTTATGAACACACGCCAGGAATGTCACACACACTTAGAGGTGCTCGTGCCCGCAGTTCCAGCACTACTACTTCTGCAAGCACGCGATTGGCCTGGCCCTCTACCGCAAAGAGGTGACTGTGCCCGTCCAATTCTCCACCGAGCCCGCCGGTCGGCGCAAGGCTCCGGCGGGGCCAAAGGTGACCAAGCGGGGCAACTGCCTCAAAATCGGCGACTACTAGCCGCCGAGCAGCCGCCGAGCGAGATGAGATAGAGATGAGATAGAGATTACTATTGCTGTAGCCTTGTAGCAGTAGTGGAGATCAGAGATACCCAAGGATGACTGCCTGTCACGGTAGGGGTAGCGGCCCTCTGCCGAGGCTCTGAGGGAAGAGATGAGATCTAGAGAGACTCAGCGGCCACTTCTTCTCCGGTGCCGGAGAGGGGTGGCCGCTGTGTTCCACCTGTATATGCTATATATGTGTATAACTGTATGTAATGTGTGTTGGTGTGCTTCCTAACCAACATCGCGCTCGCGGCGGGGGTGACGGTCTCTCTGAATCTCAATCCACCGGACCGACAATCCACTGGCGCAACACTCCTCAATCCACCGGCCGAACACCCTCAATCCGCTGGCCCAACACTCCTCAATCCACTGGCCCAACACTCCTCAATCCACTGGCCCAACACTTCTCAATCCGCCGAGCGGACATCGCCTCGATCCACCCAGCGGAACTCTCAATCCACCGGCAGTACAATCCACCCACGTACAATCCACCCACGGTACGATTTGGGCGGATCCACCGGCCGTACGTTCTCAATCCACCCACGCACAATCCACTGGACGAACAAATCTCAATCCACCCAGCGAACATCGCCTCAATCCACCCAGCGGAACTCTCAATCCACCGGCAGTACAATCCACCCACGTACAATCCACCCACGGTACGATTTGGGCGGATCCACCAGCCGTACTTCTCAATCCACCCACAGTACGCTTGCGCGGCGGCCCTCGCCGCCGCAGCCGTCGCCGCACGCCGCCCAGTCCTCTCTGCCGCCCAGCCCGCCTCCGCCCAGTCCGCCGCCGCCGCATCCGCCCTCGCCGCATCCGCCCTCGCCGCCGCCGCCCTCGCCACGCCGCCCTCATCGCCGCCTCCGAGCCTGCCGCCTCCCTCGCCGCCTCTACCGTCGCCGCGCCCCCACCGAGCCCGCCGTTGCCGCCGCCGCCGCCGCCCAGCCCGCCGCCGCCCAGCCCGCCGCCGCCGTCGCCGCCTCCCCCCTCGCCGCCGCCGCCGCCCTTGCCGCCGCCGCCCTTGCCGCCGCAGCCCTCGCCGCCGCCTCCGAGCCCGCCGCCTCCGAGCCCGCCGCCTCCCTCGCCGCCTCCACCGTCGCCGCCCCCACCGAGCCCGCCGCCGCCGTCGCCGCCGCCGCCCTCGACGCCGCCGCCCTCGACGCCGCCGCCCTTACCACCGCCACAGCCACCGCCGCTGCCCGGCCCGCTGCCGCCGTCGCCGCCGTCGCCGTCGCCCCGACGGCGCAGCGGCGGCGCAGCCACCCGCTTACGGCATCGTCTTGGGGTTGTGCTCGCGCCGGCCGACCTCGCCGAGCCGCTAGCGCGCGCGAGGGAGGCATGTGCGTTGCGCCGCTCAGCGGCCGTGGAGGGCGAGCGCGGGGGATGCGCGCGCTTACTAGTAAGTGCTACATTGTGTGTGCTGTATGTCGGTCTGCACACTGTACAGTGCCACGGTGCCAGTGGGGTGTGAATGTGAACACTGACCCTCACACACTAAGGGTTGGTCAACCATGTGGGTGTCTATGTGTTTAAATAAATAAATAAAAACGGACACCTCTCTACTGTGAGATGGGTAAAAAGGAACAGGCCCCCGCCCTTGCGATCTTAGTGCAGGGTTCTTTGTGGGTGTGGTCGGCGACTACGGACTGTTCTTCACCTTTCTACCTACCTACCTACGGACTAGCCGGGGTCGTCCTCCCGATGGGGGGCTAGCACTAGCCGTCTTCCACCTGGTCCCTCGGGTCCCTGCTGCTCCTAATCTCTTCGTACATCCATGTGTGTGTGTTCGTACATCTATGTGTTTCCCTCGGGCAGAGAGTAGATTCTTATTTCATGTCGTCAAAAAGCACCCGTATTCACTTGCCAAAATCGCGACCCAGGGTGTTCGACCGGGCTACGAAGTACCAAGTAGCCGTAGTTCGGGCTACTAGACAATGGCTAATGCCTTTAGTCGTCACTTAGTCTAGGAGTCTCAACTGTCGACTTCGGTTGTGTGTGACCGCGGGACGAATCAACCCTGCTCCTCCTCACCCGAGCTAACCACCCCTGGGGAGGGCGAGAGCGGCGCGGCCGGTGACAAAAGCTGCGGACAGGCGGCCGCGCGCAGCCGCGCCTCTCCTCCCTCCTCCTGCGCAGTCGGGGCGACGTCGAGGGGTGATGGTTGGCTTTCCACCCACACATTGTGCACCAGCGGCGGCAGCGCGGCGTTGGCGGGCCGCGGGTGCTCTCGCGCCTATTCACAGCCCGAGGTGTGAAGAGACGCCGTTCACAGGTATGGCGGGCCGCGGGTGCTCTCGCGCCTACGGAACAGAGAGACAGGACGAGTCTGTCTCTCTCGTCTTTGGTGTACCCGTCGCCCCCCGGTCCCTGTGTGCATTATCTCCCCATATCTCCCCATATCTCCCGCCAGTAGCGCCCCCTGTGTGCATTATCTCCCCATATCTCCCCCTATCTCCCCCTATCCCCCGCCAGTAGCGCCAGTTGGAACACATGTACGTGTACTCCGCTTCTAGGCTCCGTGCTGCCAGATACGGGGAGATACGGGGGAAGGGAGATACGGGGAGATGTTCCGCTTCTAGGGCACGAGATACGGGGAGATACGGGGGGAGATACGGGGAGATGTTCCGCTTCTAGGGCACGAGATACGGGGAGATACGGGGGGGGATACGGGGAGATGTTCCGCTTCTAGGGCACGAGATGCGGGGAGATACGGGGAGATGTTCCGCTTCTAGGCTCCCGCGCCGCCGCCGCCTCACGCGAGCGCGCCTCCTTGAGCAGTTGCACGTCGCGCGCCTGACACACGACAGCCGCGTGAAAAAAGAAACCCGCGCGGCGGCGTGAGCGGATGCACGTCGGCCGCCTAAGAACAGACCCCCCCCCCCCTCAAAAAGGAAAGCCGGACGCGAGGCGGTTTGAGCGGCGCCGCACGTCGCGCGCCTTCTCGCGCTCCTCCTTCTTCTTGAGGCCATTCTCGAGGTAGTAGAGCCGCACCACCGACGCCATGTCCTTTGTCCGCACGGCGTCGTGCACCGCGCGCAAATCCTACACGACGAAACCCGCGTAAAAAAGAAAAAATCGCGTAGTGACGGCGTCGTGCACCGCGCGCAAGTCCTACAGACGAAACCCGCGTAAAAAAGAAAAACAGCCCGACGTGACGGCGTCGTGCACCGCGCGCAAGTCCTACAGACAGAAACCCGCGTAAAAAAGAAAAACGACGTGACGGCGTCATGCACCGCGCGCAAGTCCTACAGACGGAAGCCCGCGTCGAAGAGAAAAACGACGCCGCAGTGACGGGGTCAGGCACGGCGCGAAAGTCCTACAGACGGAAGCCCGCGTCGAAGAGAAAAACGACGCCGCAGTGACGGGGTCAGGCACGGCGCGTCCTTCTTGTGCTTGCCGAGCGCGGCGTGGAAGTGCCGCTCCTCCACCTTGAGATGAGGGGGAGATGTGGGAGATATGGGGAAGTGCCGCTCCTCCACCTTGAGATGAGGGGGAGATGTGGGAGATATGGGGAAGTGCCGCTCCTCCACCTTGAGAGAGGAAGAGATGTGGGAGATATGGGGAGGTGCCGCTCCTCCACCTTGAGATGAGGGGGAGATGTGGGAGATATGGGGAGGTGCCGCTCCTCCACCTTGAGATGAGGGGGAGATGTGGGAGATCTGGGGAGGTGCCGCTCCTCCACCTTGAGATGAGGGGGAGATGTGGGAGATATGGGGAGGTGCCGCTCCTCCACCTTGAGATGAGGGGGAGATGTGGGAGATACGGGGAGGTGCCGCTCCTCCACCTTGAGATGAGGGGGAGATGTGGGAGATATGGGGAAGTGCCGCTCCTCCACCTTGAGATGAGGGGGAGATGTGGGAGATATGGGGAGGTGCCGCTCCTCCACCTTGAGATGAGGGGGAGATGTGGGAGATATGGGGAGGTGCCGCTCCTCCACCTTGAGATGAGGGGGAGATGTGGGAGAGATGGGGAGGTGCCGCTCCTCCACCTTGAGATGAGGGGGAGATGTGGGAGATATGGGGAGGTGCCGCTCCTCCACCTTGAGATGAGGGGGAGATGTGGGAGATATGGGGAGGTGCCGCTCCTCCACCTTGAGATGAGGGGGAGATGTGGGAGATATGGGGAGGTGCCGCTCCTCCACCTTGAGATGAGGGGGAGATGTGGGAGATATGGGGAGGTGCCGCTCCTCCACCTTGAGATGAGGGGGAGATGTGGGAGATATGGGGAGGTGCCGCTCCTCCACCTTGAGATGAGGGGGAGATGTGGGAGATATGGGGAGGTGCCGCTCCTCCACCTTGAGATGAGGGGGAGATGTGGGAGAGATGGGGAGGTGCCGCTCCTCCACCTTGAGATGAGGGGGGGATGTGGGAGATATGGGGAGGTGCCGCTCCTCCACCTTGAGATGAGGGGGAGATGTGGGAGATATGGGGAGGTGCCGCTCCTCCACCTTGAGATGAGGGGGAGATGTGGGAGATATGGGGAGGTGCCGCTCCTCCACCTTGAGATGAGGGGGAGATGTGGGAGAGATGGGGAGGTGCCGCTCCTCCACCTTGAGATGAGGGGGAGATGTGGGAGATATGGGGAGGTGCCGCTCCTCCACCTTGAGAGAGGAAGAGATGTGGGAGATATGGGGAGGTGCCGCTCCTCCACCTTGAGATGAGGGGGAGATGTGGGAGATATGGGGAGGTGCCGCTCCTCCACCTTGAGATGAGGGGGAGATGTGGGAGATATGGGGAGGTGCCGCTCCTCCACCTTGAGATGAGGGGGAGATGTGGGAGATATGGGGAGGTGCCGCTCCTCCACCTTGAGATGAGGGGGAGATGTGGGAGATGTGGGGAGGTGCCGCTCCTCCACCTTGAGATGAGGGGGAGATGTGGGAGATATGGGGAGGTGCCGCTCCTCCACCTTGAGATGAGGGGGAGATGTGGGAGATATGGGGAGGTGCCGCTCCTCCACCTTGAGATGAGGGGGAGATGTGGGAGATATGGGGAGGTGCCGCTCCTCCACCTTGAGATGAGGGGGAGATGTGGGAGATATGGGGAGGTGCCGCTCCTCCACCTTGAGATGTGGGGAGATGTGGGAGATATGGGGAGGTGCCGCTCCTCCACCTTGAGATGAGGGGGAGATGTGGGAGATATGGGGAGGTGCCGCTCCTCCGCCTTGAGATGAGGGGGAGAGCTGGGAGATATGGGGAGGTGCCGCTCCTCCGCCTTGAGATGAGGGGGAGATGTGGGAGATATGGGGAGGTGCCGCTCCTCCACCTTGCTCCACACAGCGCGAGGGTCGACCGCGCGCGAGCGCAGCGCCTAAGACACGGGGAGAGCAACCTGGCGCTGGCAAGCCACCAAAAGGAACGGCGGGCCGCGCACTCGGGGGGCGCACGGACACAGAGAAGACCCCGGGCGCTCGCCTCATCTCCCCACATCTCCCCACGTCTCCCCACATCTCCCCACATCTCGCCAAACGAGCTCCTTGACCACCCGATCTCCCCATATCTCCCATATCTCCCCGTATCTCCCCATATCTCCTCGTATCTCCCCATATCTCCCCGTATCTCCGCAGGCGAGCTCTTTGACCACCGCCCGCGCGGCGCCTGCAGCGCCGCTTGCCGCTGATACGCGGCGAGATGCAGCGCGCCGAGAGCCATCTCGGCGGCAAACTGCGGCCGCGCCGAGAGGTGCGTGGGCGGGTTCTGCGGAGGACCGCCTGTGAGCGTGCCCCGAGCCTCAGGGCGGGGGGAGGTGTGGGGAGGTGTGGGGAGGTGTGGGGAGGTGTGGGGAGATGCGGGGAGATGTGGGGAGGTGTGGGGAGGTGTGGGGAGGTGTGGGGAGGTGTGGGGAGGTGTGGGAGGTG